ACGTCTTTGACGACATTGAATATTCATACCGATGAGGCCATTGCAGGGCTTTATAGGGTCTTGGGCCATCTCAGCTTGGACGTTACACGTCTAACAGACTCTGACAAGTTGCCCTGATGATGTATCATCATCTAAAAGTAGCTGATAGATGAGACATTACTTCAGCCATCAAACCAGATTTATTTTATAGTGATGGATTCCAGTCTGAATGGTGTCTTTTTGTACTTTATGACTTGCGAGAATCCTCAGTGCTAGTCCCAAATGTGCACAGATTAAACACAGCCTCCCTGACCACTTAAAATAAGTTTTTTTTTTTAATTTTAAAGCAAATAAAATGCGGCCTCAAACTGTGTCTTTGTGACAAGTAGAATTTATTCCTACATTTGTATTTGTCAACCTGAATAGTGTAGTTAACATATCATGGCTCAGTTAGTGCATTACACAAGGATCAGTGTCACGGCTTCAAGATGATATATGAGGTTTTTAACCATCAAATGTCAGCCATTACCAATCTAAATATATGGAAAAAGTATAAAATATTACATCAAAGGATATATGTAAATTATTAACTTTAGTTTGGCCTAATTGATCTTATCCCAAACAAGGGTGATTAAAGTCCTTTTCCCACTTTCCTAAGTTGTTAAAATCTTGTAAAATACACTATTTGGATAAAAGTACCGGGCCACCTTCACGTTACGCCTACAGGAGCTGCTCGGCCATGTAAACTCACAGTGCACACTTTCTGTGCTGATGTTAATTCAAAGGGAGGTTTTTCAAAGTCTCCAAAGATATTGAGTCAGCAGAGCGTCTGAGACTTTTACACACTGGCATTTGATGACCTCACTGTGTGACTTTACGTGATCTGTAACTATGTGGCTGAGTTGCTATGATTGATAAACCCTTGCAATTTGCAATAATCGCACTTGAAGCTGATGGGAAGAAACTTACTGCAGCACAGTTCCACGCTCAAATCCAGTGAGCTCTTCAGAACGACCCAAGCTTTCACGAATGTTTGTAAAGGAAGATTGCATGGTTAGGTGCTTGATTTCCTACACCTTTGGCAAGTCATTAAGAGGTGTGGCCCAATACTTTTTTGCCTACAACTAAACCAAAAGCTGCTTAGCTAAACATTAAGATGGTACAAAAGGCAGTCCAGCTGTCTTCAAACATACACACTTCACTGGGGTGCTGTTTGCCAAAATAATCTGGTGCATAGCCTTTAGAAAATGCACATTGGTTTATGGGCCCTTTAAGATGGTGAAAGACAGGATGTTGTTACTTTTAGACAGAGCAATGTGAAGTGTTTCACACTATATGTTATGCTCAAGATCAGTTTAAACTGTTTGTTTATATTGATCTTGTAAGAAAAATATGTTTTATGTAGATATAAATGGTGATGCATCAGAAAAACTGGCACAAGCTTCATAGGTCTCATTCCTTTAGAGCTATTTTTTCTGAATTTGCCTGAATGTACATTTTTGAATGTGTTGTATTTAACTGCAACAGATGTCTTCCTAAGATCTCAGTCAGGGTGACTCATAAGGCGTGTTTTCCTTGTCATCTGTTTTCCGTGTTAGAAATCTTTATTTGCACTTTCTAACATCCAGAAAGGTAAAATAAAGATCTGACACATTTTCTAAACATTCTCCAAACACTTTATAAAAATGTCACAGTGTTTATTTGAACTAATTTCTCAGTTTGTGCTTTTTGTTTCTCCTAAGAAGAAACATAGATTACAACACTGATATTTTTTTCCACCTCAAAAGCCACATCGAAGCAGCTGAGGAAGCACAGTCGGTGTCGTTTATGAGGTTTAACTCTTTTGGTTCACTGGGTTTTCTTTCTGATATGAAGTAACATCTTCTCTCTGGTTCTTTTTTTCCTTCTCTCTCCTCCCTCTTCTCTCCTCCCTGCATCTCTCGTTCTGAAGTTCAACAGGATTATAGGAATGACTACTGAGGAGCATTCTTGAACCATGCTCCTCTCCTCCACCTGTGCTCACCTCCTCCTGCGTCCTCTTTTAAAAAGAAAAGACTAAATACTGAAGAAACTCCTGTTATTCCCTAAAGGCTGCCATATTTCCTGGGATGGATAAGTCCTGACACTTTTGAAACTGCAGTCCCTGCAGCAGCGATTATCACATTTTTCTTCTCTGGAGACCTTTTGTTTTGTTTTTTTTAGCTATTTCTAAGATTTTTTTTTCTTTAGGGTTTTTTTAAAGGCACATCAGTTTAAAAGCAAGCTGGTTTTCTCATTTTAGAAATCGTTACGCCGTCGTTCGGTGCAGGTTTGTACACAACCACACCAGATTTTCAGACTTCATGCACCCGTGAGTAAAGTATTGTGATAAGAACTGCTTCATTAAACTAGTTATTTTCCCATGTCGAAGGAAAAATACGAGCAATTTGACTCACTTTTCCACAAAAAACAGCCCCCGCTCGTCGTCAACAGGACCACCTGTCGACAGATACTCGTGTATGCAAAGCTTTGCTGCCGCAGCCTTTGCTTCACCCTGCTTTAAACTCAGATCTCATAAAAGCTAATCTCATCTTTCAAAAGCCAGACAAATCAGCTAAATAGTGATGGATTGCTTTGATGTTGACTGGCTGCTTTCATTACTGAACATCCCAGCTATTAGTGCATCTCAGTTTCTGCAAGATGGACAGAAAATCTCAGTTTTTACGCCTGATATAATGTGATCATTTTCATTCCTGGAAAAATAATCACATCTGGGCGATACTGGGGCAGAGATTAGAGCCGTCTTCAGTTCCATTAAACTACTTCCTTATTAACCCAATCTTTTGGACTCTGTCCCGGGTCCTGAATCTGCTTCTGCAGAGAAGTCATTTCACCATCAAAGAAGTAAGAATTGTTGACTGGTTGAAATGATTTTAACCTGCTGTGAAGCTATTTCTGAATCTGTGCATGCCTCACTTTCCCACTGTGCTTCTTTTATACCGTACTCTTGTGTTGGCCTTAACCTCGCTCCACGCTCTCCTGTAGTACTGGCTTTGTGTTTGCTGTGCTGATGCAGAAACACTCTTCACTGATCCTAAATATTCCCACCACCCCAGTTCAAGCTTTGCCTCATGGCGCCTACCAGCCCTACAGTCCTCCCTACAATCAGCCACACCACCCTGCTGCAGAGGCCTACAACAACCGAGGAGGGGGTGAGGAGGAGGAGGAGCAGGACCCCTATTATCGTGGTTATCCCCCTCAGTACTACCCTCAACAGCCTTCTCAGCTGGCACACATCAACTACGGTTACCACTTCAGCCCCACCTACTCCGAAGACGTGGAGCTGAGGTCACCGGGCATCGCCGGGAGGTTTTTGCGGGATGTCGACGTAATGGAGGAGAGCGAGGATGGAGGACTTTAGATGAAAGACGAATTAAAGTCCTCAAGATAAAGATGTTCCCACAAAACGCAAAGAGCTGAGACATGCATATAAAACACCTGAAACTGTGGCGAGAACTTCTGTCCCTTCCCTCCCGTGTCCCCGGTGGGATCCCCCAGCCCCACCCCCATCAGGTGAAACATTGTAAATAGCTCTGTGGACTCTTGTACCATATCTCTGTAAAAGGGAGGTCCGAAAAGTGCCTGATCTATGTTTAGCAACGCCCATTTGATAATGTCAAGGTAAGACTTGTTCCTTCCCATCTCACAGCCGATTTAGCAACTTTTGTGTGGAGCTGCATGGAAGTGGAACCCGCGCCTCTTGTTTTGGTTGTAACTAACTGGGTTGTTTTAGTTCAGCTGGTAACATTTGCGCAGGCTGCTTTTTTATAATGATGAATCATGTTTCCTCTGGTTGTCTTTGTTTTTGTACCAACTGTTGAAAAGTGGTGTTCTTAGTGGACATGAAACCCAGACCAATCAAACTCCTTTCCCTGAACACTTAGAAGCACACTTAAAAAAAGATAATTTCTTTTTAATTTGAACATTGGCGCTTGTTACTGTTCTGGATTTTATTTTATTTCGGGGGGCTTTTGTGAATTTAAAGAACATTGTTATGTTCATTATGTTCCCTTTTATTTCTTATGCAAATTTGGGCCTGCTCACTGTGGAAGCTGTTTGCTCACTGGCTGAACTCTGACCTCTTTCTGGAATAAGACCTGAAGTCAGTTATTATTACAAAAAAAAAAAAAGAAGAAGAAGAAAATCCTCTCGCCTCTCTGTGAAATCAATAAGAACCCCTCTTGCACTGCAGTCAGAAAAACAAGCAGCAGACGTGTTGCTACGAGCTGGTCCCGGTCTGGATTTTAACTGTCAACCGTGAATAGCTTTAATAAGGAATGTGTCTCGCTACCGCACCCTTTGGTACAATATGGACTTATTTATTTTCTATTTTGTTTGCTTTTATAACCAATAAATCTGTAATGAGACTACAAGAATTGGCTTAGGTCATTTGTTTAACAGCGCAAAAGGGTCAAAAACCCAGAGTTTACAACACTTTTGTAAAAACAACATTCGACAAGAAGAGGTTCGTTAAACTCTTTATTAGCCTTTTTACAATTCACTTAAAAGGGGAACAGATTTATCGATGGAAACTTAATAACCAAAAACAAAAAAGCAGCTGTGTGATCAAGTTAACATTTTGGGATTCTCATATAGTTACACATTAACTGGTTTCACTGTGCATCCACGAGCCTTTAAAGGCAGGATCAGCTCTAACAGATGTCACTTTTAATGGACCAGATCGGATCATTTCATGGTGTGTAATCAGAATCACCCACAGAATCTGATTTTTCTCACAGCTGAGCCACATGGTCAAATCTCAAGCTGTCATTGGATAATTCAGGCCCACCGCGGTCGCGCTGGAGCCGACAGAGAGGTTCCCCTGGTAGGATAATGTTGATGTTCTTGGCATCTATGTTATGTTAAGTGCTGTCGAGCTTTGATGCCAGTTCTGCAGGCATAAACTGCGGGCTAAATTTACACAAATCAATAGCAGAGGATGGTGCTGCTTTCAGTGTTGTGTTGATATAAGACCTTTTTTCCCCCCTCCATTTCTCGGTCTCATTGGGCAGCCTTCATTTCATCTTGTAGTCTTCAGGTCTGTGGAAAAAATACAACAACGCATTAGTATGAAGGGTGGGGAAAGGACCGATTACAAGGAAAAACATGGATAGAATGGGACAGATGAGAGAGTGGGCAGATCTTATCTCTTTTTTCCCCCCGCCCCTTTTTTCAAAATGACTTCAGAGACTGTGTCGTTGTTTTCGGTTTTTCCGCTTCAATTTCAAGCAGAGTTTGCAGCAGACAGATATTATCAGAGCGTGCTGTATTGGTTTTGATACAAAGTAGAAAAAATGTTGTTATCAAATGTAATAGCTCTGCTATCAGCTACACCCGTATGCTGTCGGTTTTCTGTGTCTGAGCACTTGTTTGTGTGTTGACTGTGTGCGTGTGTGTTGTACAGGGGTGGACAGGGAGCTTACATTCAATAATAATCTCTCGCCTGGGCTCCAAGGTTTTTCTGAGAGAATATTAACAGTGTGTTTAATAAAGGGGAACGATTGAATCGCCCTGGATGACCTTAACCCCATCTCCCCTGACACACTCACACGATCAGTAAAATGACTGAGGCAGCGTGTGAGCGAATATTAACTAGACTGAGGCCTATCTCTTAAATAAACCAGGATTAGTTTGACCTTGATGGCCACACAGCGACCAGCCTCAGCACACAGACTGATTGGCTGAGGAGATTGAAGCAGTAAACAATAAGAAGTAGCTCATTTATCACCTCGCACAGGCACACACTCTGACAGCAGTGGTGAACGCAGCACCGACATGCTGTACATATCTGCACAAGGCATATACACAGAGTGAAAACTAATGTCAGAGAACACAAATAAAACTATTGGCCCTGTGTGGCACCACTGTACCTTAAAAATTTCATGTATGCATTTTTCTACTTAACAACACGTCCTGCGTCATCACTGTTCAATAGGACGAGGAGCAGAAGAGGGCCTGACCTTCGACCTGGGGGTGGAGCTATCCTTTTAGGAACCAAATCTGCATGAGCCAGTCCCTGCAAATGCTGACACTATTCTCATGTACCCCTAAATAACTATATTGTTTGAATACATCTACTTGGTGGTTTCATTTATTTACTAGCATTTTTGGTTTGCTGCCTCAGAAAAGTACAGTTAGACCACATAACACTAGCAGTGCTTCTAAACTCTGATCACTCGAATGCTCATTTTAGGTTTTTCAGGGGTTCCCTGCTCCAACACACTCAATTCAAACGATCATCTTTAACCTGCATGCAAAACCTTTACTAATATTTTCCTACTCAAGTAGGAAAATATGTATACAGAGGGGTGAAAACACTGATTCTAAAAACTGATATTAGTTTAGTTCAAATGTGCAAAACGTTAGGATCATACGAGCTAAATTGTTCATTTGACTGTTGTGAAGCAGATTTGGTTTTGATTCTGAGAGTCTGAGATTTCTGTGTCGACACAGAGGAGATCAATGGTGTTTTGCTTATGGTGTGTGCAGCACCGCAAACAAAAAACATCAGCATTATTTCCAACAAAACAATGTCAGTTTTGCTCCAAAAGATCACACCACATAAAAAGGAGGAAGAACATGACGAATTTTGCCATTTTGCTCAGTGTAATTGTTAACATGCACCGAATCCTGTTAACAAAATCCCATTAACATTTATTGAAGTGGGACATCACAGAGGCATCCAGCATCTGAAAACCACAAAGGAAACCTAGCTGCAGAAATAGATTCATGTGTTTATGGGGGTTTTTACATAGAGAAAGTACGATGGCAGGAAAGCAGGGTTTGGATTTGCCAATAACAACAATACATTTGTTAAATCCTGATTTAGCTGCTGTCTAAAATGTTTACAACAACCTGGAGAAACAAAATCCAAGCTTTCGAATTAAGCACCTCAGACTGGGTACAAGAAAGACCATCAGAGGTCCTGGGTGCTGAGCATGTCCGGTGGGTGAAGAGCAGTGACCCTGACTCAGAAGCAGCTGGGCCGCGGGTGAACGGATGGATTGATGGATGAACGGATGCAAAGGCTACTGCTGAGCAGGTGAAGCAAGAACGCTCTTCGTTAACCTGTCAGAACGATGTTTACTGCGGCTGAGGCCGGGGAGAACGGCACGATATTATCATGCCGGCAAACCGCGGGTCACAATGCCAGTCTAATCTCCAACCAGAAAATACTTGACTCAGAAAAGCTATGAATATGATTAGGCCGAGTAACAGATGCTCTCTCACACATCCTTCAGAGAAAACTTGTGTATCCAAGCGCTCAGGAAGTGAGGGAATACAGCTGATTTTCCCAGTGTGCATCTGAGAGAACCGTCCTGCTCTGTTTTTGAGGTTTGGCTCCTCGTTACGATGTACAGTGTCCTACTTTTTTACAGCTTTTCGATCGAGCTCACAATGAAGCCAACTTGCATCAACTTAAAAAAGAAAAAAAAGTCAGCTTGGGGACAACTACTCCTATTTTCATGTAGTAGTGCACACAGGAGCCAGCTCCTTAGTGGTTCAGCACTTCAGTTCTTTGTGCATCGCGTCACATAATGACAGCTCTAAGTTGGCTGACAATCATTCGCACCGCAGCTACATGTGTTTGTAGTTACGATGAAAAATGTTGCGCTTTTTTTTCCTGCTTGAGGAGAAACTGTCATGTCACAATGGCCACAAAAAAAGGAGCTGTCATACATTTGAATTAGATCCATTTGTGTGCGTGTTGCTTAGTAAGACCATGAAAACATTACAGGACTGCGTCAAAGCAGAAGAAGGCAAACCTGGGTCGAAACCTTCCCGTCTTTTAAATATCTGAAGATTGTGCCAGCACACACACAAGTTCAGAAGTCGTCTGTTTCTCATTTTAAATGCTTAATTTAAAGCTTTGCACTGCTATTTTTTTTTTAATATAAAACAGAGTAGGCTGGCATAGAGAGAGGGACTGTGAGATGGTACACAGTTCAACATCACCCCCTTCTGGACCATCCTCATCAACACAAGACTGAGTGTGACGCGTCACCATGAATGTTTCAATTTCTTCAGTATAAATGCAGCAAAATGGGAGACTGTGATAATTTCATTGGGCAATAATTTTCATCAACAACCTTTCTCGCCCCCCCCCTTAACGAAAATGTGACAACACTACGATGAAATGTGATGAATGTACTGATACTTTAATCCCGAATAAAAACGAGATGAAAATATTTTGGAGAGATGGCATGATAAGAACTAATTAAAGTTGTGTAGAACGGCGGGACGAGTTTGGAGGTGATCCAATCAGAAGTAATCTTGTGCGGTAAGGTTAGACGGGCACATTTGATCTGGTAAAACCAGCGCCCATCCTCCCTGTTTCTCATGAAAACGAGAGAAAATTTCAACACTTGGCAGAAAGATCAGAGTAGAAAAGGAAAATAAGACACTGAGAAACTCTCACCGGTAAAAATACGACAAACGCTTTCTTTTAATCGTCTGAATTAACTTTAGATTTACTCTGATGTAATCTTATGTTATTTAGTTGACTAAAAGCATTTAAATCCCTAAATTATGACTAAAACTAAATCAGAATTTGCTGTCAAAATCAACACTGATGGGAGTTTGGGCTTCTTTTTGGATATTAATTGAGAGTTACGCTTCTACATACGGTGTCCACAGCCTGGGGAAGGCATCGATTTCCTCCCGAGTGTACTCGCTGAGCTTCTTCGGTATTTCTCTGGGCTGAGGCAGCTCCTCTGTCAGGTTGGCTTGAATGTCATATGGCAGCTCCTGGAGAGAGGTGGATGAAGGAAACGTTAAAGGCATTTGATCCAAGACACAAAAATTCAAAGAGAAAAGGGAGGAAATGGGAGAGAGGAAAGAATTTATAGCAACTGACACAAATAAGGAGACAAATGTTACAAATGGTGCCTTATTCAAAGGCCTGGAGGAGGTTTTAAGCTGGGAATAACACGGAGGAAAAGAAAAATAAATAATCAAAAAACACCAAATGTTCAATAGAAACACTGCCTAAACTGTTGTGAAATGCCTCAGGCTTAGAAACGCCATCTCTAAGTACTACTTAGATTCTGCTGTTAGGACCAAAGTCAGGTAATCAGTCGTTCCTCTGTATATGGACACATTCATTCACAGTATTACAAATCAAAATACCTGATGATGGCACTCCCACCATGATAGTAATTACAATCCGCTGATATTTAGATGGACCCCGTGTGTCAGTTAACAGCCCATCAAGCACTTTTTATGTTAAATTCATTCCAGAGGCTGTGATGTGTGACGCTGGCTCTAGCCAGTGTAATTTGAAACCAATCAATATGCTCTCAAGTGCCAAAAATGCATGCGAGGCATAATTCACTGCGGCAATGATACGACGCATCTGCTCCGCTTTAAATCAACGACTGAGACGGGACAGTTTGTCAACTCTGATAACCGATTGGACGCATTATTTACATTCAGCCTCAGCTGCATTTAATGACTTTTGGCAGCCAATAAGATGTCATTTTCCACAGTAGGCAGAAAACAATACTTCACTGACATCGACAGTCACTCGTTTATTTACGCGTCCCTATTTACATAATCCCAGTATTAGCATTCATTGGAGGTGTGTTTACTGGCCGCCCTGTAAACTTTAATATTTCCTCATTTTATACTGTTTTGGTGTACACTACCACCTAAGGGTCTCTTGAATAAATGGCCAGTTACATATGCTTTCAGGTACACACTTTGGGTTAATCTGACGGCATTTAAGTACCCTAGTTACTTTTAAGTAACAGCTGCAACAGTAAAGTTACCACATCAGACCCAAATAAATGGACATATCACCTTTAACATGGCGCAAGAATTTACACTAATGTAGTCGCGGCCCCCTCCCTGAGCCTGGCTCTGCCAGAGGTTTCTTCTTGTTAGAAGGGAGTTTTTCCTTCCCACTGTCACCAAGTGCTTGCTTGTAGGACATTGTTGGGATATTTTCTCTCTTATTGTATTGTCTCTCTTATGATATAAAGCACCTTGAGGTGGTTAAATTGAATAATAAAATAAAATAATAAAATTAAAGCAAACTAGTCTAAATAAAGCCAAACAAGCTCCCCTATGAGTGGAGGCAGTTTAGCACCAAGTGACACACAAAACTGCAGTTACAAAAGCCTAAACACTTCCCCAGAGTTGATGCTTATTAAAGACAAACTACAATAAGTCTGAATGACTTTAACACAGTGATGAAGTCGGTGATGTCATGTCTAAATGTCTAAAAAGAGCTCATCTTCATGAGTCCTCGCCCTTTTCTGTGATTTGTTCTTCTTAGGGCATCAGCAGAAAGTGAAACAATGGCCTTAAAGATTCATGAGATGAAGTGCAGAGTCACGAGACAACTCTGGTTCCTCAATATTCTTGGTGACGCATCGTAAATATAGAGCTGCTGACAATCCATCCATCCTCTACCGCTTATCCTTGTCATAGGACAAGAGACGGGGTACACCCTGAACAGGTTGCTAGTCTGTCACAGGGCTAACAAATTGAGACAGACAACCATTCACACTCACATCCACATCTAAGGGCAATTTAGAATCACTAATTAGCCTAACCCCACTAACTGCATGTGTTTGGACTATGGGAGGAAGCTGGAGTACCCGGAGAGAACTCATGTAGACACGGGGAGAACATGCAAACGCCACACAGAAAGACCCCAGCCAGATGATGGAGCCGAACTTAGAACCTTCTTGCTGTGAGCCAACAGTGCTAACCACTGCACCACCTTGCCGACCAGAACTGCTGATAAGTAAAGCTTTAGACAAAAGGGAGAGAGACTAGCGCTTCTGACAAGAGGACAACAACAACCAGATTTAGTAAAAAACCTTAACCTCACAGCCATGCACTCATTCTCTTAATGTACCCTGACTGTCTTTCATTAGTGAGATGATGTGAAACAGGGCTTACATCTTCAGGAAAGATGTGTAATCGCTGCATCATGGTGCGCCGGTGCAGGTTCCGAGGCAGCATGCCGTAAACTGCTAACCTTACGATCTGGAGAGGAGAAGGACAATGAAAATATTGACATAAAAATATTTTCAAAAGTCTGTGTTTATAGCAACAAATTTTCTGTTTTTCTTATATTTTCTTCTAAATTGTTCCTCAATGCGAAGCAGGTTACACAACTTGGATGAAGTTACTGGATTGAGAGAGATGTTGGACAGACGCAGTGCTGACAAATCATTTATGTGTCCAAATCTATTTCTTCCTCTTCGCACGCCAACCCTTCAAATGTCACATCAACTAAATCACCTTCAGGATGCACGTCTGTGGTCGCTGACTGGCCTGAAACCAGCAGCTTAGTGCATGTCTCTTCTGGTTTAGTGCACTTCAGACTGGAGACCAGTGCAGGTCATGCACCTACATCGAGTCATTCCCGCATGTCAGGAGCAATTTTACGGTGTACTTTTAGCACACTAGCTGCATATGGGAAAAAAAGTCTACAAACCCACAACTTCTGCAAAAAAACAAAAAACAAAAAAACAAAACACTCTTACTAAGTGCACCACTGCAGAGGCATGCTTATCCTTCACACAGCTTCAGGCGAGGCCTTAACATGCAAAACTCACTTTTATATATTTAAAATTAAAAAAAATGTTTGATAGATGTCTGGGGGAAAAAAATCATGATAGATATTCTCCAATACTTAATGGATTTAATATTTAATGAAACAGAAAATGCTGTAAATATGGGACTGACTATAGTGAGGCAAGTACTTGAGTTACGATTATGTGCACTTCTTTTCGCCCACTGATGTCTCTGTCATTTTTGTAACGTTTGAATGAGGATCTGTGGAGATTTTCTTTCCCTTATATTCATATTTATTCATTTATATCTTCACCCTGTCTCTGTGTGCCTCGAGTTCATTCATCATTTTCTCATCATTTCTTTTCAAAAACATTTTTTTCAAGGGTTAAAAAAAACTTCCAAAAACAGCTGGATGCTGTTATTTTCTAATCACCTCTAACCAGAAGTATTGAGGTGTTCAGGGACTGTGTAGCGGTGCAGAATAATACACATCTGGTTTTCTAGTAAGTGTCCCAGATGAATAAGGGAGCAGCTGAATGTATCTTTTATTTTCAGTGTGTAAATGGTAAACGGGCTGATTCTTTTCTATTTTATTTGTGCACTCGTAGCCCTTTCTCCTACGAGCCTCACACACACACACACTTTTTATACTTTAGAGCTTTTATCTGTCACACATGGACTCTCCAGCGGATGCATTGGGGGTAACTTGGGGTTCAGTATCTTGCACACTGGAGGAGCCGGAGCCTGCAGCACCAACCAACTACAGTGCCCATTTTGATTATAATGACGTGACACCAGAGTACATGCTTGTGTCAGGACTGATTCAATAAAAAGAATCAATGACCCTCACTAGAGTTATCCTTCAGCTCCTGTTCTGTTGTTGTTCCTGTTTTTTGAGTCGCTGCTAAGTAACACGGGAGTTTGCATCATTTGTTAAATACAGTATGCAGGTCACAGTAAGTTTGCCTGGAATAATCATGGATTCATGTAAAATATTATGTAAAAAAGCTGCCACACTGGGCTCTACTCTTCTTTCTACACAGGAGAAGAGTTCATTACCTTGAAATCATAAATATGCATCACAACCAAAATCCCAAGAATTATCCTTAAACTGACATTCTTGGTCTGAGTTTCAGAAAATATCAAAATACCTCCATCAACCAGCACAAATCCACTGCTGCTTAATCCCACTCCTCAGCACTTTATATTAATATGCATGAGCAGCACATACGAGGAAAGGGATGAGTGTCAAACCAGGAAGCACCTCCACTGCAGAGCATGTGGCACACTTATCTCTGTGTGGTTTAATTAATCATACCTACAATATAATCAAATTCTTGGTGTGAGCTAAGGTTTAAAATTCACTCTAAACAACACAAAGAGGAGAACAGAAGCCAGCAGCACTTACAGCTTTTGGGTCCTTATGATGGAGCTGAGCAGCTGTGACTTGTTTGAATCCACCAGGGTACCTTTAAAAGAAAATGAATAAATTACGACAAATCTCTGCCAGTCCAATTTTATTTCATGAACTGAAATTGGCATTTATTGCTCTGATGATGCTTTTTTAGTTACCAGTTCGGATTATTTTTTCAAATTAGCCCAACATCATGCTATCCATTTTACAGAAATACACATGCTGAAGGCAACATTTACTGCAGTATTTATATGTTCATGTGAAAGCCAGCAGGCTCACTGAAAATCCAGAGGTAATTTTTAATTATAACGTTTTGTGAAGCAGTGGCTGCTGCTCTCATTAGGAGGCGTGTGTGGATGCAGACTTTGAGTCAGAAGAGGAGGGACTGTGACGTGAAACAATGAAACGCAGTATATTCTAAATCTGAGGATTTCTGTTCATACAACTGCCAGAAAAATGTTGCAGGAAGAAACTTGAAAATTCTGATTTAACTTTTCAGACTGAGCTTACACAGCAAAGACGTCAAATCAGACATAAACGAGTATTTCTGCTGTTCAGTAGAGCTGGGCGATAGAACGATAACGATATGTATCGCGATATAACTTTTTCTCGATAGAAAAATTAAACTATTGCGATAGACCTCGCCGCTCTTGTCCTCTTAAAAAAAAAACCCAGCCTATCCAAATTACGTAGCGCAGAGCCGAACCAATCACAGCCGCAGCGCAGCACAAGTGCCAAGCCGCACATGTGCCAAGCCGCACATGTGTATTTGTTTGGGAAGCAGCCAGCCACCGTACCGCCCGGGTAATGGAGGAAATGAGTGTGCCGACTAGAAAAATCAACCGAGAGAAAACAGATGATGGTTCCAATGCCGGAGAGATTGTCGAACGGAAGAGCCATAGAAGTTCCGTAGTGTGAAGGTATTTCGACTATTTCAAGTCTGACAAAAAACAGAGTAGCGTGCACTGTAAATTGTGCCGAAAGCAAGTCTGGAAATACAATGAACTGGTGCATGCGCTACGTCCACGCGTACCCGGGTATTTTTGAAAACGCAGATTTTTCTATGCGTTTGCACCTTTCGTCCACACGTAAACGGCGTTTTTGGTCACTGAAAACGAAGATTTTTGAAAACTCCGTTTTTGCATTTACGTGTGGACTAGAAAAACGGAGAAAACGCAGCGTCAAAGGTGTGCGCATTTTTTGACGTCACACTGTGCGCCACGTTATTGTTTCGGTGAAATGAATTTCTACAATACTGTTAATTCTACTCTCTGCAGTGTTTAAATGCTTACACATACACACACAGTTACTGTCCCTCCACACATACGACTCGGTTCTGCTTCTATGCCCCAGCTTTGTTTACTTTTTCCCACCGAGGCTTCTAGACTTCTGATTGGCCAACATTTCTGCACGGTTAGGAATCTAGCGCCACCTGCTGCTTTGACATGTTCATAGCAGCGTTTTCCTTCATTTCTGCCTTTATGTGTGGACGGGATTATTTTTTAAAACGAAAACGGAAAATCTCCGTTTTCAAAAATACCCGTGTACGTGTGGACGTAGCTTCAGTCTCTGACTGGAAGCGCTAATTCGTCATTCGGATTTTGTCAGACTAAAGTAACTGTTAAAACTGTTTGAAAAGCTCAGCTATACAACAAGGAGAGATTGAGAATTTCCTTTTAGTTCTCAGTTTATTTGATATTGACAAAAGTTAGTCAGTTTTGTCTGTTCTTCTGTAAAACAAACTAAGATTTATTTTTAGAATTAATATTTTGTTTCTAAGTGGAATTGACAATTTAGTCTGTTTTGTTTGTTCTATTTTGAAACTTAAACGCTTTAGCGGCTGCCTTTTGTGTAGTTTGCAATATTTGCCTTTATTTATCTGAAAAAGTCTCATGTTCCTTAAGTACATCTGCCCTGTTGAACTTATTATGGGAAATAAATATTTAAATAAAAACAAGCTGCTGATTATTTCACATTTTACTTGTGAGCAACGGCACATTTAAATCTTACAAATATAGTTATTTGGCTTATATCGTGATAGATATCGTTATCGCCTGAAATGAAAAAAACATATCGTGATATGAAAAAATCTTATATCACCCAGCTCTACTGTTCAGTGACCCAAAAAACCTCATTTACATCACTGTTGGCAGCAGACTAAACAAAGCTTTATGTAGGCCTCGCTTTGTCCTGCTTTGAACTGGAAACATGAAATTAAAATCATGACAGATGGCACTATACACTTACCCCGTGTGTGATGAGTAGACTTTCTGTTCCCATTTGTTCCCAGAGAAAGCTATGTGTTTGCTGTTTATCACCACCACATGGTCACCACAGTCACCTGTGAAGATGTTCAAAAGGTTTGTTTTCAGGCTCAATGCATGATTAAAAAGCCACATTATTCTGTTTTAAAGAGAGGAAGACTAGCACATATAGCTGCTCTACCAATGACGCCACTACTAAGAGCAGAAGCTACCTTGTGAGACTAAGGCTTAGCTTTACTAAAACATATTGTTATTCCAAAGTATAACTGAGAAGGAAGGGAAAAACATTTTTAAAGCTTGTCCTCTGCTGCCACCATGTGGCAGTTCTATATAAAAGTAGATGTTTCTGTCATAATGTCATAATCCAGACGAGGAAATCCCAAAAATTGATTCTGTTTAACTGGATGTAGTGTTTTCAGTGGTAGAAATGTTTCATCACTCATCCAGGTGACTTCTTCAGTCTCAGCTGACTGCAGGTTTCCCCAACCTTATAAAGGGTACATTTGTACAATGACTGCAATTAGAGCTGGGCGATAGAACGATAACGATATGTATCGCGATATAACTTTTACTCGATAGAGAAATTAAGCTATGGCGATAGACCTCGCCGCTCAAGGTCAGCCAATCCAAATTAAGTAGCGCAGAGCCGAACCAATCACAGCCGCAGCGTCACGTCGCGTGACTTGTTACGTACAGCACAAGTGCCAAGCCGCACGTGTGTTTGTTTGGGAAGCAGCCAGCGGGTAATGGAGGAAATGAGTGTGCCGACTAGAAAAATCAACCGAGCGTGACCGAAGAGAAAACAGATGATGGTTCCAATGCCGGAGAGATTGTCGAACGGAAGAGCCATAGAAGTTCCGTAGTTTGAAGGTATTTCGGCTATTTCAAGTCTGACAAAAAACAGAGTAGCGTGCACTGTAAATTGTGCCGAAAGCAAGTCTGGAAATACAATAAACTGGTGCATGTGTCACACTGTGCGCCACGTTATTGTTTCGGTGAAATGAATTTCTACAATACTGTTAATTCTACTCTCTGCAGTGTTTAAATGCTTACATATACACACAGTTACTGTCCCTCCACACATACAACTCGGTTCTGCTTCTATGCCCCAGCTTTGTTTACTTTTTCCCACCGAGGCTTCTAGACTTCTGATTGGCCAACATTTCTGCACGGTTAGGAATCTAGCGCCACCTGCTGCTTTGGCATGTTCGTAGCAGCGTTTTCCTTCATTTCTGCCTTTATGTGTGGACGGGATTATTTTTTTAAAACGAAAACGGAAAATCTCCGTTTTCAAAAATACCCGTGTACGTGTGGACGTAGCCTCAGTCTCTGACTGGAAGCGCTAATTCGTCATTCGGATTTTGTCAGACTAAAGTAACTGTTAAAACTGTTTGAAAAGCTCAGCTATACAACAAGGAGAGATTGAGAATTTCCTTTTAGTTCTCAGTTTATTTGATATTGACAAAAGTTAGTCAGTTTTGTCTGTTCTTCTGTAAAACAAACTAAGATTTATTTTTAGAATTAATATTTTGTTTCTAAGTGGAATTGACAATTTAGTCGTCTGTTTCGTTTGTTCTATTTTGAAACTTAAACGCTTTAGCGGCTGCCTTTTGTGTAGTTTGCAATATTTGCCTTTATCTATCTGAAAAAGTCTCATGTTCCTTAAGTACATCTACCCTGTTGAACTTATTATGGGAAATAAATATTTAAATAAAAACAAGCTGCTGATTATTTCACATTTTACTTGTGAGCAACGGCACATTTAAATCTTACAAATATAGTTATTTGGCTTATATCGTGATAGATATCGTTATCGCCTGAAATGAAAAAAACATATCGTGATATGAAAAAATCTCATATCGCCCAGCTCTAACTGCAATTAACACCACTGAAGAACAATGGGTGGGATGAAGGCCAGTAAGAAATAAAGTTCTCCTTTTTACTTCAAGTGCTGCTTCAGCTTTTACCTCTGCAGTGCTGTACCACAACATGCTTAAACTAAGGGTTTGTTGTGGTTTAAAAACAATACCTCATATATACACAATGAAACAGTTAAAGTGAGTTACAGTGAGAATTTGTTCATGACTGTCTGGTGAGTGTGAGATGGAGTTCCTACTCACTCAGAGCATGGTAGATAGGTTTGTGTTTCCCCTGTAATCTAATAGAACACATAGTTGCAATCTTCCCAGGCGGCTGCATCCTGGCATCAATCAGGAACCAGGAACGGGCAAAGGTCGCCCATTGCTGAATGAAGTCAAGGAGAAAAACTTAAATTACATATGCTAACAAGCTGAGACATCTCAGCATCAGAAACCAAAGAAGGCCTGTTAATTTTCCAAGCTCCAAAATTGTAAAGATGGGCAGCTTAAAATAATGGACATGCCAAACTGTCCCTTCAAACTATAGTTGGCAAAATGTTTACTCTTCCTTGTAGACAATTTTAATATCCTAACCTTTCAGCAATTAGTCAGCTGCTAAGAGAGAAAACTGGTTTCTTCTGATCTTTTTCTCCAAAACACTTAACCTGACCGGTCCCTCATTTCTAATCTTAGCTATCCTGGTCACTCCAAGCAAAACTTTCAGCATCAAAACTCAAAACCATACATCATAACAAAGTCTCGCTACCATCTTGTAAACCTCAGGGTAAAAAGTTATTGCCAGTGTTTGTATATATTTTTTAATGTCTACGTTATAATCAACCCAATCCTTTCTCCCAGTTAAAATATATTTATAGAACTGGTGTCACAACAAGACATTTGTAACATTTGTCACTGAGCAGCTTCTACCTGGTTACAGAAATACTCTTTCTGGTTCAAAATGACAAGACATCTTTCATGAGATAAAATATAGATCAATAAATCATTTAGAACAGGTGAAATGCATTTTCTGGTAAATACAGGTGGCAAATGATCATCATTTTTTTAAACACTAGATCATGTGTTTAAATTATTTTAAGTATTTCTTACTTCGTACTACAGAGCCAAGTAAGAAGTAAGATAGAAATGGTGGCGAGGATTAAATCTCATATTAAGACAAAACTTAAGAGTCTGTAGAAGAACTGTTTCAAACAGCTAGCATCAAAATAGCAGTATAGCAACTCTCTAGGATAAAACCATATGAGAAACGACGTTAAGTCAAAGACTAGACGTTTTAAGTGTTACATTTCACTAACTGAAGGTTAGAGTTATAGTAAATGGACAATAAGACCTTCGATTTCTTTTAGAAAGCCTCTTAACTACTGGAGGCAGTGCACTCGTTCACAGCTAGCTGTTAAAATTTCTCTCATGTAACAGTGTCAGTGTCGTTCAGCGACGCTAGCTACCAGCAACCGCAACCATTAAATAACAAAAAATACAAACATAAGGTGGAACTAATGCAGCCCACAGCGTCTCAGATTACCTGTGCAGATCTGGAGAAACTGGACATTTTAGATTAAACTACTAGCGCATCCTCTAAATAGTTGACCCCAACGTGAGCTTCGGTCCGCTACGAAATTATGTTCGGTTGAAATAAGATATTTTTAAGGGTTCCTAGGTTCCAAATTAATCTATATTTATCGTGAGCTCATGTAGTGTCCGGCACTACTGTATATTCACGATTATACATATTTTAACTGACAGTATAGCTCGATATTTAGCTAAAAAATTAGCTTCAATTATAATTCTGTAGTATTTAGTTTCTACCCGGTGGTATTTTTACGTGACATCTTAACGTGGTTACCTCACTTCCTTCTCGCGAAAGAGAGAGCGGGGAAATTTGACGGCCCTTCTTTGGCAGAGTGATCAAATTGCTTTGACTTGTTTGTTATTAGAAAAGGAGTGTTTGCTTTGGTTTGTTTCCCTCTGTAAAACTTTTGGTTATTGTTGGCCATTTATTGTTGATATAACCTGCCGTCTGACTGACAATGAGGACTTTAGAGGAGGTGCGGGCCACTCTGCAGATCGCCAAACTCAAAGAGGAGGACTTACAGAAAACTATCCACTGTCTGTCCTTTGGGCCAAACGTTTCATCTGCGGACTACTGCCTGATGGAGCTCGACGACACACTCTGCAAACACATCGAGGCTGGCCAAAGGTAAAGCTGATTGTAGTGAAAATTCCCGTGAAGAGACTGACAGCAAAGAAAATGTTCCTCTGCTAGTTTGGGGAACAAGTCAACAACCTTTCAAAGTTATTGTGGATTTAGGTTTTAATGATTAATTAGTGAAAGTGTAGGAACTACAATTTTCTGCTTCAGAAAATCAGAGCTGAAGTGCAGGGTGGACGTGCATGAAGCTATATGTAAATATAAACTAATTGACCACTTTTTTAGGTATACCTGTTCAACTGCACATATAACGCAAATATCTATTCATAGCAGTAGCTCAGTGCATTTAGGGATGTAGACATGGTCAAGATAACCTCCTGAAGTTCAAATTGAGTTTTAGAATGGGGAAGAAGGGTGGTTTAAGTGACTTTCAACATTGGTTGTTGGTGCCAGACAGGTTGGTCTGAGTATTTCAGAAACCGCTGATCTACTGAGATTTAAATAGAGTGGCCTGAAGAGAGATAATATCCAACGAGTGGCTGTTTTTCTGGGAGAAATCCCTTGTTAATGTCAGGGAACAAAGGAGAATGACCACTTAAAGCTAGCAGGAAGGCAACAGTAACTCAAATATCCACTTGTTACAGCCACGGTCTGAAAAAGCATCTCTGAATGCACAACAGGTCAAACACCGAAGCAGATGGAGTACAGCAGCAGAACACCACACCAGGTGTCACCCCTGTCAGCTAAGAACAGGAAACTGAGGCTACACTTCGCACAGACCGGTCAAAATTGGACAACAGAGTTGAAAAACATTGCCTGGTCTGAATACTCTCAATTTCTGCTGTCACATTCAGATGGTAGGGTCAGTATTTGTCATGAAAACAGTTCAGACTTGTGGTGGTTTTGTAAGACAGGGAGAGATATTTTCTTGACGCACGTTAGTGCTAAAGGACCATCGTTTAAATGCCACAGCCTACCTGAATATTGTGGCTATCGATCCTTTTGTGATCAGTGTATACATCTCGTGATGGCTGCTTCCAACAGGATAACATACAAAAACTCAAATCATCTCAAACTGGTTCCTTGTATCCACAGTCACCACATCTCCACCCAGTAGAGCACCTTTGGGATGTGGTAAAACAGGGGGGTTGTTATTATGGATGTGCAGCTGACGAATCTGCAGCAACTGTATGATGCCAACATGGACAAAGAAATGTTTCCAGCAACTTGTTTAATCTAGTCCATGAAGATTAAAGGCAAATGGGTCCAGCTAGGCAAACTTGAAAGTTAAGTTTACCTGGTGATAACTAATAACTAACTTTTTTCCCTCTTTGCCAGTCTAGTGATTCGGGGCGATAAAGACGAACATGCAGTGGTTTGTAGCGACGACAAGACCTACAGTCTAAAAATAGCTGACACATCCAACCTGCTGCTGTTTCTTCCTGGATGCAGAACACCAGACCAGCTGACCGACACCGAGGACAGCTCTCACGTTGTGCACGCTCAGGTAGGACCTACACGGGTGTCTTTCTTTGACTGACAAGCACAAACTTATAGTCGGTGCATAAAAATAGATTCCTGTTGCAGATATGGGGGTTTTGTAACAGCTACTGGGAACTGAGGAAACAGCGACCAAGACTGAAGAAGCTAAAGAGGCTTTTAATGGAAAATCCTTACGAAGGACCTGCGTTAGGAGGGCAGCAGGAGAATACAGAGAACAGGGTGAATACACCCCGTTAGATCTTTTCATGTCGATGCTGATGTTGCTGTAGCTGTTAGTAACCAGTTTGCCCTGTTCCCAGTACACAATGCAGGATCTGCTGGAGAGGATTCAGGCCAGTGAAGAGGAGATAAGGACACACTTAGAGACCATCCATGCCTGTCAGATAGATGGTAAACAGTGATGTCATTTTTATTTAACATCATGACAAAACAGATAGCTACCAGCTCTTCAACAAGAGCATCCTTTTTCCTTCCAGGATACTGGCGCGTTCTGGACTTTGACTATGAGATGAAGCTGCTTGGTCATGTGACTCAGCTGGTGGACTCTGAGTCTTGGGCCTTCAGCAGGGTTCCCCTTCAGACCAGTTTAGATGAGCTGGCCCCACTCGAGCCCAGGTCTGTGATCCTTATCTTCACCTCCAGAGATCAACAAATAGTAACATAAAGATGCAGATGGAGTAAAGTTGCAGTGATTGTTTTTAACATACCCAAGTGACACAGTTTAAGAGGCTATAGTGACTTTCTGAGCTTGTATTTTATGGCTACATAGTGATGTTTCCTTTTCTGTTCACAGAGAGATGATCGAGCACTGTTTGAACTGCTATGGGAAACGCTATACTGAAAATGGTGAAAATTTGACCTTCGCACCACAAAACTAGAAGGATTGCACACAATTCTCAGCTGCTTGGTAATGAAATGTGTTTTGTGTCCTTTATCTATACAGGTGAAGTGTTTTATGCACTAAATGAGGACAAAGTCTGTTGGGGTATCGCACTGATGCTGCTGCACAATGCTGTCAAGTTCAACCTGAAGGAGTTTCAGGAGGTCTGGCAGCAGAGCGTCCCAGAGGGCATGAGTACAAGACTGGACCAGCTAAAGGTGAACCTGTACACCTTTTGTCCTTTATGATGTATTCAGAGTGAGAAAAGTGTTGGGAGTTAGAATATAAGCTGTGTATTTGGGCATTTTCATTGTTTTTAATTAAGGAAATCCTCACAGGCTTGGCATTCACTTATCCATAGGATTCCCCAGACATATCTTTAGTTTACTGAGTTTTTCTCTGTTTCTCTCTTAAGCCAGTGTGTATCCCGTTGTGTTTGAGAAGCTACTTTCCAGAGTTTAGCTTAGTTTCCTGACTGGTGTTGTCTGTATTGTATATCTTCCAGGGCATTGCCCTGTTGGACCGCACCTCCCGCCCAGAGACCATCTGCCTGCTGCGTGTGGAGGACCTCCCAGAGGACACGGTGGAACGCTTTAACCACCTTTTTACACTCCGAGAGAAATGGACAGAGGAGGATATAACACCATACATACAGTTAGTGTTATCCATACAAATTATTAAGGGCTTTAATTAAAGAAACACAAAGAGCTTGTGAGTAACCCGAGTCCCATTTTTTGCTTATTACAATGTGTAACGCTCCATTTCCTCATCCAGAGATCTGTGTGGAGAGAAACAGACCACCGGAGCCCTCCTGACCAAATACGCTCGGTCTTCAATGCAAAATGGGATCAAGGTTTTCAACTCCAGAAGGCCCGTGGCTACGTGAACACTCCTACTGTAAAGTTATTTTTACTGTTTGAAGATGTATCCATGTGAATCTGTTCATTTCACCCTGTCACTTTTTTGATGCTCTGTGAAAATCTGTTTGCTAAAAATGCCTGTTAGCACGTTTTCAGCTGCTCCTTTTTGTCTCATGTGTAAAATCATTGAATAATAAAGTTATCAGAAAAACAAGTTTTTGTTTTCTGTTGACAAACTTAGACCTTTTTTATTGTCGGCAGGTTAATGCAATGTTGGAATTGTCCACAAGGTGGTGCTATATGCGGAGTAATATACAGCTGTCAAAAGTTTATGTCCACTCATCTTGGGGATGAATGTCATGGTAATGATTTCTGGGTTTTAATGATTTCTTTGACGTGTTTCTTTTCCAGAGCGGAGTGACTGTACAGAAAACATCATTAATCACTTTCAAAAACAAGAATGCTTGCACAAGTTTGAATTTATTTTAGGTTTTCTTTAATCCACACAGGGTCAGACGTATACATATAGAATAAAATATATATACATACCCCCACTAATATTTTGTTATAAATCCCTTGGCAACCAGTCACTTTTGAGAATTCATCAATACACTTCTGGCTTCTTGATCTTTGACCCACATTCTTGGCAGAATTGGTAGAGTTCATTTAAATCAGTTGGTTTCCCAGCACAGACTCGGGTTGAGGCTTTGGGAAGGTCATTCCAAAAGCTTAATGTTAGCCTCCTTATCCTTTCCACAACCAGTTTTGTTTTGTGTTTGGGATCATTATCCTGTTGGAAAACCTAACTATCCAGGTTTTAACCATCTAGCTGTCAATCTGAGGTGAAGTTGAAGAGTAGTCCTCCATAATTTCATGCACTTTGTGAAATGTACCGGTAGGAAAACAGCCCAGAGTATGATGCTACCACCAACATGCTTGACAGGTGGTATGTTCTTAGCTTTGAAAGCCTCACCTTTACTCCTCCAAAGGTACCGCTTGTTGTGGCCACACGGCTCTTTGTATCGACCACAAAATCTTTCTCAAGAACACTTTTGGCTTGTCCATGTGGGCAGCTGCAACTTTCAGTCTCGCTCAAAGACATTTGTTTTGGAGCAGGGGCTTTTTTCTTTGTCGGCACCCTCTCAGTCCAGTAAAACTTACTTCACTGTGGACCGTCACGCTGGTGTTTCAGTAGTTTTCAGTTCGTGCCAGGGTTGAGCTTTGGTGGTTCCTGGGTTGATCCTGAACATCCTAACCAACCTCCAGCCATTTGAGGGCGACAGTTTGGGTCTTCTTTGAGATCTTGGTGACAAATCTTAAATACAGTTCTTTGAAATGCTGATCTTGAAATCTGTAGTTGTTTAGAAATGGCTCCAAGAGACTTTCCCAACTTGTGAAAATCTATAATTCTTCTTAGAGATTCCCTGAGTTCCTTGGACTTTCCCAGTATTGGCCAATCCAGTGAGTGCTGTTGATCAAATCCCTTTTATATTGGCAAAGGCAAACCACAAGTTGTGGTCAAGCATGAGCACTAATGAGAAGTTAATAGGCTTTGGCCATGTCAAGTCAAAGGTTGTTGTAGTGTGCTGGTTTAGCTCACTGGATTAATCAGGGAACCCATATGCTGCTACGGCTAGTACAGAGAGCTGGTTGAAATCTGGCCATTTGCTGCATGTCTTTCTCCTGTCATAAAGGCTAAAAAGCAAAAAGACAAGTCGTAGCACCACTTATTAAAAGATTTAAGTCAGTGTAGAAATAAATGTGAGCCTGTATCTGTACTTTTGACCCTGAGTGGGTTAGAGAAAACCCAAAATAGTTTCAACCTGTTTTTTTAAAGTCATTAAAGATGTATGCACTACAGTCATTCCACCATAGAAAAAGAACAGCTCAAAGAAATGATGAAAAGCCTCAAATTACCATGACATTCATCCCCATGATGAGTGGATGTAAACGTCTGACCACAACTGTACATAAACCAAGCATGCTTTAATAAGTCTGGTTCTCCAAAGTAAACAGATTACATTTGAAATTGATTGTTTTGATTTGCTAGCCTGCCTGATGTCTTCTGGTTGATTCAGACTATCGGATTACTCCAGAAAGGAAATGAATATGTTTCATGTTTGGACAAAAAAAGACACGTTAAGCACAGTGTCATGGTTTACAGATTTGCTTAACAAATGAACGATCAGTTTGATCTTGGATACTTTTGACCGGATCTGATCCTGGGAGGAGACAGAAAACCCTTTGGGATTGTGCCAGGAAGGGCATCCGGCATAAATATCAGTGGAGCTATCTGCTGTGGTAACACCTTGTGAATAAGAGGTCACAAGCAATTGACAAAGCCTTTGCCATTTTCCTTGCAATATTCCAACTAGCCAATTCATTGGTAAGTAAAATAAAGCAACACTGCTCGCTACATCATGGAATAATGGCGTCCATTCGGGATGAATATTTGAGGATACTGAAATTCAGTCAAGCAGGATAAAATAAATTCAGAAAGCACTGTGCTTTAAATAGGACACGTCACTGGCACATATGTTTAACTCGAGCATGCAAAACACCCACAGATGCAGACTGTTCCTTCATTACCACAACTGTCTGAATGTGAGTCAGTGTCAGTGACACATGAAGATCTCACCAGACACGACACAAAGCTGATAATTTCCGTGTTTCAACACACACGCTGAGTTTATCTGGCTGGCTGACTGTCCTTGACTTCACCCACTGGAAGTGCTGACTTGTCAGTGCATGGGGTAAGAGATCCCAGCTGTGTTTGTTGCAGCTGCTGTGATGGTCTACATAACACGGACAAAGTGATTAATAATCTTTACTTTCTCTCCTCCCATGTGTGATCCACCATCATATCTGCTCCTGCTCGTCTATTCTGCTTTCTTCTTCTTCTTTCTGTGAACTAGATGTGTAGGGTGATTTGCTCTGGTGTCATTCTTCCCCCTTTTTTCACAGAAACAACATTAAAAGAAAGAACTGCAGCTAATGAGAAGATGGGTGTTAATGTGTAGTACGATCAATGTCAGCTGTTACTTAAACTGAAACTGGCACTGGGGGAAATACAAAGACTCTGAAAATACTTAGAAAAATTAACCACAAATGATTTTTTTTCTTAAAGTGAAAACCATTACAGCTTTTAAAGGTTCCTTAAAGAAGACTAGAAACAGAGAAAGACGTGGACTCAGGAGTTCCCCAACTTTGTAGTCCATTTCTTTAATTTCACACACCTTAAACAAACTTCCTATTGCACATAACATTACAGTACTCAGATCTATATTTTATCCCTCCTTGTCTACAATAACCCTAAATTTAAAAACATATTCATTAAAAAAATAATTTCTCCTCATTCATAACATAATATACTCTTCTGTGTTAAAAATCATTATGTAAAAGCATCTCTTTGATACGAAGGAGTATTAGGGCCACATTAAGAAAAACATGTATAGATCATTTTGAGAATAAAGTTAAAATTTCGAGTCGAAAAACTTTTTCATGGAAAAAAAAGTCATAATGTGAATATTACAGTTGTTTCAAGACAAACTGCCATGGTTGCTCTACCCTCTGCTTCAGATTCAGTTTTAGTAACAATAAAGGAAACAGCACACAAACACAGTGTGGTTGATAAGTATAAAGATGGTGCAGAAAGCTGCATGTGGTCAGATGGAAAAAACACAAACTCGGAGGAGTGCATTTGTGCAAAATGAAATAGCTGTTAAGCTTTTATCGATGGTTATACTGTCGTGCAAAAAAGAGGATGTATGTTGTATCACAAGACGGCTGATCAGTTTGTGTCACTAACTAATCTACACAAGGCATTTTGTAGATGGCATAGCAAAGGTGGCAGCTTGTCTTGAAACAAAAAGAAAGAAATCATTTTGAACAGAATGTCAGTTTTTCATCTGAATGGACTTTGGATCAAGTCTTTTTTAGAAATATAATTTAACAAGAGTTTTGCTTTATGTAAAGATGTACAGTTCACAGCAGGTCGTGCTATCTGGGCAGCATTTCCTGCAGGTCTGCCACGACATAAGCAACCACGGCCCACAATGCCGAGCAGAGGTCCATGTCTCGAGGGTCCTGGACGCTCATGGTGTCGCCTTCACTGTGGTGGAACCAAAAGTAACGGCTGTCTGCCACGTGGAGGCTGGCACCTGGATGACACAGGGACAGAATGATGCACAAAGAGCGTCACAAAACATGCTGGAAAATCTGAAACTTCAGCTCTGGAAACAGTTCTGGACTCAGAGTTTCGCAGCTGTAAAGAAGCATCGTCACTGTGTCTGGTTTATTCCTTTAGAATATTTCTCTTTATGACTGGTCACAGCTGTAATTTGTAATTTGTGTCCTTGTAATTTGAAACTAACGAAAACCACCAAAGGAAAATAATCTGCTCTGAGCCTCAGTTTACATTCTAATTTTATATCGACTTCTTGTCTAAGCTATTAAAAATGCTTTGCTTATGTTTATGTATTAGAAAATGTTGTATTTACTGTGTACTCAAGGCTTTAATTTAGTTTGTGACCTAGAAATCATATTAAACCTATATTTAGTAAGTGACATTCAGTTAACAAAGGATTTTCTGAGCTAATAGCTGAAAACTGGCCATGTTTCGACATGTTTTACAAGCGTTTACAAAAGAAGATGTGGCAGGCCTAAAAAGAAAAAAGAAAAAACTATCAGCAGATGTAGAAGTCTCATCAGAAATAGTCTCAGTGGAAGAATGACTGTCAAGAAGCCATTTCTAAGGAAGAGAAACAGGGAGAAAAGGCTGACGTATGCTAAATTACACAAGTACTGTGATATTTAGTTTACACAAGAACTGGATGAGAACAGAGGAACAGGCTCTGATGGAGTGATGAATTCAAATTTTAAAGTTTTGTTCAAATCATCATCAATTTGAGGTCAGCAGAGACATACAACAGTGAGTGTTTACAGCAAAACACGGTGAAGTCTCTCATGGTTTGGGACTGAATTTCAGCCAGTGGTGTTGGAGATCTTATCATAATTGATGGAATTATGAATGTAGAAAAGTGCAATCACTATGCAATACCATTGGCCTCCCCAGACCTCAACAATATTGAAGCAGCGTGGGATCATCTTGACAGAGATGATGGGAGAACTGACAAAAAGGCAGTCAACATCCAAAGAAGAGCTTTGAATGTTCTTTAAGAACCATGGAGAACTATTCCTGAAGACTTCTGAAGAGTTCGGGTTGTCAAACCAAATATATATTTAAACTTGTTAGAATTTTGCAAACTCTGTTTTTGCCTTATATAGTATATTTCCGTGTATGTTTGTGCTTGCCTCATCAAATCACTGCATTAATTTCCCATTTTCCAAGCAAAATATAAAGAAATGAGGGGTAAGTTAGTAGTGTACATTAGTATTGTTAATGTTGTATTGTATATGAGTCTGTATGTAATGCGAGAGTTACTTTATCAGCTAAAAACACACGTATAGGTTTAACAGATTTGTTGTAACAAAAAGTTCTGTTATGGTGACTATTTGCTGTTCTTCTTTTCTTTTATAGGGTGTAGTAATTGTTATTCTGCTTTTTATACACTTGTATTCATTGAAGGAACCGCAGACTACTATTTTCTAAAACCATTTAAAGGCCAAGATGACCCTGCTTGTACTTGAGTTATTCTTTATAATGTTAAAGTCTTAAAATCTCCACCCATTCCCTAAATAAATCTTTTAGCTTCCATCCAGATTATTAAAAAAAATTCCCACTGCTAGTAATGCTGACCAGTCACTCACAGACACGCGAGTTCCCTTTAGAACAGTGTGGCCCCACATTTATCCAAAATTAGCAGAAAGTTCTGCTTAAACATCACTTCAAGGTTAAAATGTAGGATATAATGGAAAAAATATAATCCTGTGTCACATTGGTGACCTGTCCAGGGTGCACCCTGCCTCTCCCCCTATGGTAGCTGGGATAGGCTCCAGCCATTTCTGCGATTCTGATAAGGATAACAGGACAATAATTGATTGATGAATAGAAAAATATACATTTATATGGGAAAGTTTAGGAATGCTAAGCAAACTGTAACATACCTGAAACTCGATGAATACAAAGTGTGAAATGCATACAAACTGAAATAAGATGTGAAAGGTCAGAGAATGTAACACATATCCTAATAAACAACTAAACTGTTTTGTTTTTTTAATGTATTGATTTTTTTAATCAATTTCATCAAACTATAATAAACTGCAGTAAACAGAACCTGCACTATATAATACGGTACTGTAGATGGCAGTGTAAAAAACAGAAATCTGCCCAGAAACAAACAGAAGAACCCAGGAGCAGTTTGGTTTTGGTTAGCGGTGTCAGTCACGTCGAGGAGGTGTTATTTTCTTCAATGCAAACGTAAACTCCCATTGTATACACTGCCACAGGAAGACGAAGTGAAGGAGCAGTGGTTAAATTCATTTTCACTACTATTCCTCAGCAGTACAACCCCAACCGCGTATAGTGCTCCTTCATTTTACCGAGAGCTGCTTCCTGAAGCGGTTCAATGCTGGATTTTCGCAGTGGTTAGTCCTGAAAGACGAGTCAGTTCCCACTTTGCTGGGAAAATCTGGAGAGTCATGAGTGAGTGTGCTCTGTTATATTTTTACTGCTGTTACAGTGCAGAGCTGCTTGTGTAGCAGCAGTAGAGCACTGTAAAATAATATAAACCTACAAATAAGCCCATTTAAAAATGTGTATTGCTTTAATTTAACCATCCGCTCAATCTACCAAATTGAAAGAAGAACCCAATATAAGGCAATAATCCTGCAGGCATTTCCTACTAACACTTATTATAATGTTCACCCAACTCTGATGCTTGATGATGGTTGATGGTTTCAACATTGAATAACTGGAGTCGATATGCAGTGCAGATATCCATCGGTCACTTCTTCCCAATCAAAAAGAACATCTCATTTAACCCTAACACGTGATAAATGACTCATGGCCCTCAAAAAACAGCAGGTGAACGGAAACACTGATGTCTATTTTGAAGATATAAAGCACTGGTTTTTTGTGTGTGTTCCAAATACATGGACCGGTTTCCATTGCTTCTAGTGCTTTCTTTATTTGCTACTTTAGGATCGACTGTGACCATCCTTTGCTAAATGGTAAATGGCCTGTATTTGTATAGCGCTTTACACATTCAGTCATCCACACACATATTCACACACTGGAGATGGCAAGCTACATTGTAGCCACAGCCATCCTGGGGTGCACTGACAGAAGCGAGGCTGCCGGACAACTGACCACCACCAGTAGCCAGCGGGTGAAGTGTCTTGCCCAAGGGCACAACGACTGAGCCACGATTGCCTGGAGAGGAGAAAATGCTGTCCTACATACTGAACTTAGAGGAGAGAATCAAAGCATCGATCCTATCACACTATGATCAATCAGATATCAATACCAGCGTTGGTATCAATACTGTTTGGATTGAACCACTCTCCTCTACAGACCATTCACGACAACAACCGACATAATAAACAAAGTGATGCAGATCATGTAAATGTTCATTCATTCATTCATAAATGTATTTTCCATTTCATTCCATGACCTGCTGATATATTTGGTTTTTAAACAACAGCCTGTTGAACGCAGAGCTGAACTCTGAACATCCCACTGCTGTAATAAAACCTACTTGTTCAGTTGTTGCCTTGCATGAAAAACAGATGTATATAAGCTCTCTAAATATTATGAGATATATTAACTGATCAAAGTGTGTTTAGGGTTCTCTATAATTAGTTTGCGTTTGCAATTGCTGTTAGGATTATCATAAATCAATGTATACTTCAGGTGAGCTGGGATAAGTGATGGATGGATATGTGTGTTTCTCTTTGAAAACAGTGAGGCGGTTCAGATAAATGAGAGGACGCTGAAATCAATATTCTTTTGATATAAGAAATAACTCTTTCATAGAAATTGCTGAGCATTAGGACTCAGGTGCAGAGCAAGACTCCTGCATATTTACAAACTGAAAATGTGTAAAAGTGTGCATCGCTTCTTATTTTTAATAGCGTATTGCAGCATTCACGCATTAATTTAACACACTAAGGACTAATTAGCTGCCGTTTTAGAAAATCCAACAGTTTTTTTAATGTCTAACGTACAGGCGTTAGTATTTCCAACCTTAATGTTCCCTTTTCTTTAAAATTCCAACCTTTGTACTGAAGAGATTTTTCACAGGCTGTTCTCATTTATATGGCCTCCATAAAACAGCAGGGTTTACACATGGCAAAGTAAGGTGTGTATTTTTTGAGTCCATCTTCTGATCATTGTAGTTACAACACAGCAGATATCTGGCATTACAATGTTAGGAGACTAGTGTATGTTCGAATTCTCAGCACACCGCTCTTCTCTTTTTAAAACTCCTTATCAGTTCTCCTACCCACCCTTTTGCCCTTGATTAAGTACAATGATGTTTTCCTTGAGGAGAAGAGGCAAAGGAGATAGGAGGTACTTTTGGAAAGCACCCTTTGACTAAGAAGCAGTTACTGGGGAAATCTATAGATATCTGCTCTCACAGTGTATTTTCAAAATGCCAGATCAGATAAGCCTGGTTCCATCCAGCCTCTAAAAATACGTGCAAATCCTAAACTTTTAATGAAACACTTTTGTTAAAACCTTTGAATTTAAGCTGAAAACCTGCACTTCAGCCACATCTCAGTGATTTGATTTAAACTCCTCTGTGGTGTCATCATTCAAGGACATGGCCCCGAATGTTTCTAGTAATGCTCAAACTATCTATTAAGTTGTCCAGCTGTAGCTCAGGAGGTAGCATGAGTCATCTAGTAGTTGGAAGGTTGGTAGTTCAATGTGTGTATGATTGAGTGAATGAAGCTTTCAGTAAAAAGTGAATTGAATGTAGAGTTAAGAGTTTATAAGCACCAATTCATTTACAGTTTATTTGTAAAAAACCTTGGCTAACTTAACACTAAATGGAGAAAAGTTTTGGGCCACACAATCACTTAATCTCTGCATTCAAGTATTTTCAGTCCCATTGCCGCAGGTGTTTATAAAATCAAGCACCTAGCCATGCAGCCTGCCTTTGCAGACATTTGTGAGTGAATGGGTTTGCTTTAAAGAACTCATTGTATTTGAGTGTGGTGCTCTGACAGGATGACACTGCTGCAACTTCTCATG